TTTCTCATCCACATCGGATCTTTAGTTCATTATCATAAAATAAAATCTTAAATTAATTCCTAATAGTTAAAAGAATATATTAGTATAAATATATTTTAGAATATCATCATCATACACATTATATTTATCTAAACGAAATATTTTCATTTATTAGGGATAATATATTTGTTAAATAATATATCTCTATGTAATCATCAAAATATATTTCAAAGATATCATACAATATTATTTTTAAATCTAGAGATAAAATTAATCACCTACCTATGAGATACCAGGTATCATTCTATCTAAATTTCATCTTAACTTAAACTTCCTTCTAACTTAAACATCAGAGTGTCTTTGTAATTATTGTTGGGAAAACAATTCAAATTTTCAAATTCAAATCTCTAAAATATTATTTATATTTGAAAAGATATTGATTCTTTTATAATATTGTTTAGAATTGAAATATATTGTATTTATTTTAGAAATTTTTTTCCTCTTTTAAAATTGTGATACAAGGTCAATAAATAGAGAATTTTGAGATGAGAAGAATCACCCAACCCGTAGAGGAGGTCAGCGTCTTAAATGAGAGAGGAGATTATATGAAGGAAGATTTTCAAGTTTCGCTAGAAAACTTGTGAATGAGGGTTTTCAAGTTTCGCCAAAAAACTTGTGAGAGAGTGATTTTCAAGTTTCACCCATAAAACTTGTGAGGAAGGTGTTTTCAAGTTTAACCCACAAAACTTGAAGGGAGGATTTTCATTATATATGTAATACATTTTAAGATAAATAATGAGGGGTTGAACCATGTTAAATAAATTTGTGTGATCTTTTCTTATTTCTTTTATAGTATTATTTTAATATGTTTTTCATCATTATTACTATGCATAAAAGAAAAGAAGATCTTTTGTTCTCAACAATTGCCTACATCACTATGGATATTGAAACAACTAGACTTCATTCTTATTGTTAGAGCACTTGTAACTTTTGATAAGAATAACAAATATTATAATATAATATTCAACTAAATAGAATATCTTCACTTATTAAGAACAATATCTTTGTTTATCAAAAACAATATCTCTCCTAATCAATAATAATATCGTCACACAATCACTAGAATATATCTCAAGGGTATCAGGCAACATTATATATAAATCTAGAGATAAGATCAATCATTTATATAATGGACGCCTTGAAGGAATGCCCCACATGACATTAGAATTCTACAGATAGAAAACTCGATTTTGAACCATAACCAGAAATCCAACACAAAGCAAGAAGAAATAATGTACCTATACAACACAAACAACTCATTTCCTGCACAAAAGGCAACATGCAACAACAATTCAACTCAAATCACCACATTCTTCATCAAGAACATAAAACCCCAATTTTCACTACTCAAGTCTTCATTTTAACTCCACCATTTTGAATTTTAGAGAAATTCATGCAACAACCACTCTGCATCGATCAAAAAATTGACAACTGCACTCAAGAGCAAAAATCTAACTTTCCTTACCTCTGGTTACTTAGGTTCAAGGTAAAAGAAAAGAAAGATTGGGGCTTTGCAACGAAATCAACAAAATGATTCAAGGTTTCCACTACCTAAATCATAAACAACACAATTATAATGAGAATTCAAAGGAAGAAAGGAGAAGATGGAGAGAGAAAGCTCACAAACCAAAAACCTTCTTGCTAGAATCTTATCTCTAGACTTTTGAGAGAAATGAGTTTATGTGACTTTGTTTAAATAAAACCTTATACACTCTTCCCTCTGAGGTCAAACTGAATCTCTATCTAGAGAAATTTCCTTTCAATACCATCGAAGCTCCTAAGGGATCCCCAAACCCCTGAGCCTCTCAACACTTATTAACAACTCACTCAACAATATAAAATAATTAGGGATAATATCACATTGTCGCAACTTACAGTTTTACAAAGGGACACAAACGCACTTGTTTATTCAATTATGTAACTTTATGTATATATATTGTGTCTCTTGCATGTTCAGGAACTGCTTTGTGTTAACTTAGATAGTTTTAACGATTTTTATTGCTAGTGGTCGATTCTAGTAAGTGTAGGGATAGTGGAGGGTCATTACATTTTTTATCCTTCAAAAATTCGTAAACATTATTTTTAGTCCTTGTAAAATAGTTTTGATCTTTGTAAAATGAGTAAATAAAATATTTTTTCTTTTCATTTTCATCCCTTTAAAATTTAAAAATCACTATTTTTTATTTCTAACATTTTAAGGTATACATAAATAACATTTATTATAAGAACTTATAAAAAGTGGTATCACTAACATGTAACATCCTAAAATTTTCTAAATAAATTAATAAGAGTTTTAATTAATTAGTTGAAAGGTCATTATATAATAATAGGGACAAAAAATAATAATTTTAAATAGACAAATAAGTAGTTAAAAGTAATTATATAATAACAAAAACAAAAAATAATTTCTAAAATTTATAGGGTTAAAACCAGTAAAAAAAATTTTTGCATGGATGAATATCAAAATGTGTTTATTATACAAAGATTAATATGATGTGATAAATAATATAATACAAAAGAAAAAGAATGTATTATTGTTTTACTAGTTATATTTTTTTGGTAATGTGACATTAAAAGTTATTTATAAATTATTTACATAAATTAAGCTATATTATTTTAGCTATATCAAAATTTTAACTGATGCAAAATTAAAATAAACTCATTTATACTAAATATAAGTGACTGTATTATGTGACAGAGTTTTTAAGGGACTTTTCTTGAATGAGGGGATTTTAGGAATTTTTTTAATTTCTTAACAAATTTAATTTGTATTTATTATAATTATTTATTAATTATATTTAATAATTTTAAAATAAATTATCAATACATAAAATAATGTCCTACAATATAAATTATTCATCATAAATTTAAAACATAATTTATGTATTTAAAAATGTTTATTTTTATAAATTTTAAATGTAATTTATATATTTAAATATAATATTTATTTATATATAATTTATTATAAATTTTAGTTATGTATAATAAATATTTAGTTTCTGCATTGCTTAGGTTAAATACTAATTTTAAAGGAATTTAAAACATTTTTGAACTCTAATTTAGTCATATGGATTTGTCTTATTTTATACTTGTAAGGTAGAGGTGTAAACGTAAATTTTGGTTAAAAGTAATATAAAATAAGAATAGAAATAATAGAAGTTACGATATGTAAATTAAATGAGATAATATAATTAAAAAAAATAAAATAAAACAACTTTAAACAAAATTACAATTAAAAGGTAGTTACAAAGCGAATAATTATTATTGATAAGGTGAATAATTAATTTTTATATACACTTTTTTTTATATTTTATTTTAATCTATTTATACTAATATATAAAGGAGATATTTTTTTTTAGCAATTACTTTTTCTTTTCATATTTGATAGTATTATTAATAAAAAAAATAGCAACTACTATTCTTTTTTAATAATACCTACCCTACTATTTTTATTTTATTTTATTTTTAAAATAAATATTAAGAGGTACAAATGATCTTTTTTATAGTATATAATAAAGAGGCATAAATGTCTAAAAATGTGAAAATCAAAAGAAGTATCTCGATATATATAACTAACATTTTAGCTTGTATGATACATAGATAAATATTTAGTATATATAACTAAAATTTGTAATAAGTTATATACACAAATAAATATTATGTTTGAATATATGAATTATAATTAAAATTTGTATAAATATATACTTTTGAACATATAAATTATATTTTACATTTATAATAAATAATTTATATTGTAAAAATATTTTATATTTAAATTTATTTTAGAAATATTAAAATTAAATTAATAAGTAATTATGATAAACAAAAATCAAACTAGATAAGAAGTTAAAAATTTTCCAAAAATCCTAGTATTGAAAAAAAAAATATTCTAAAACCGTTCTTGCACCAGGTAGAGATTGATATTTAATATATAAGAATTGATATAAATAAATATTTTATCTAATCTTATTCATTTTATCAATTGTTCAGAATTAAAAATTAATTTTTCTTAGGAAATAAAAATTAATTTTTGGAAATTTTGATCCGTCTTTTCTGTATTTTTTTTGTTATGCTCCGTGCTCTCTTTGCTTTATCTACATTTTTTTTTTCTTGAAAAGAAATCAAACAGATGGAACAATACAATTCACTCTTCTTTAACCCCAAAAGAAGAGGGGAAATAAGTAGCAGTGCTCACTTTATACTTTCTTTAGAGTTTAGATGCCTTAAAATAAAATATATAAAAAACCAAGAAAAAAAAAAACTAGAATGCGCATGCGAGAATATTTGTACGTGGATTCCACCATCAATCCCTTCTCCCCTTTCAGCAGTTTTCGATCATTCCAAATAAGAAAAATATTATTGAAAAATGAATTTTCTATTCTTCCCTGTTTTTCTATCACATCTTAATAGTGTGTTAGAGTTCTTGAAACATGATTTTAGTAATTTTCATTGTGTATCTGTACCAAAGCAAGCTACTAATTTAGGATCAAAGTTATTTTATAGGATTGAGTCACTCTTCCCAGCATTTAAAGTTTGATAAAAGCCAAGGCCAATAAGTTGAGCTTTAAGTAAATGCTTTTTCTTAGTGCTCCACAATGAATATAAATTTTCATGACATAAAGTAACATGTAGAATCATCAAATCGAAGGTACACATTGAAACGTTATCTACCAGGTTCACATCCCTGATGTCTACTACAACAGATGTCAAAACATGAGGCAAGAACTCCAAAGAGCATCAGAAACATATATAAGAGTTACAAGTGGCACACTTATCCTATATTTGCAAATACAGACATTTTGAATTTGAATGTGTTTGATACAAACTTAAAAAATCTTGAAAACTTCTCTAATTAAAAAAAATACTTTTTTTTTAAGAAAAAAAACTCTTAGAAACTCTTTCAAGCTTATATCTAAAGAGACTCTTTCAATAAAATGAATAATCCATAAACTTCAGCGACGCGAATTGAAAATTAAATTCTCATTGCATTTGTTCAACTCTTGGTTGCTGGAATGTTACAACTCAATAGAGTATGACAAATAACATGATAAATAAACTAAAGAAAAGAAAATGGAATCAAATACCCTAGTAATAGTAATAAATAGTTAAGCAGAAAACTTGCATTCTGCCCAACTTCTAATAATCTGTTGTTACCAATTGTCACATAAATATAATGAATATTTATCAAATTAAAAAATAATGATAATAATTAAATAAATAAACAAGTCTAGAGTTGCATGGAGGATCCAGTGCCATTGTTGACATTGCATTCATGCAAACCATCCCCAAGTACAATTGCTCCCACCTAACTGCATCAAATGTGTTCCATTGTTAAGAATTAAGATGGCATTGCTGCTGCTCTTCAACACTATACTCACCAAACACATTTGACTCATCAACACTTGTAGCATACTTCTTCAAAATCCAAAAGAAGAAGATTTGTTTGGCTTCTTTAGTTCATCTCCGCGCATGGTCCAATCTAACTTGCTGCCATCAGTAGAATTCCAACCAAAGAAGGAAGAAGACTCAACTGCGATACGAGTATCACGAGAAGGAAACTCAGAATCACAGTTCACCATATTATGCTCCATAAAATTTTGGCTTGATAAAGCACCATTTCTTGGATTCGAAGTCATTGTGGCAGCTGTTCCAGATTGATCAACCCTGAATGAAGGCGATCCAATCACACTTGAAGGATAGCCCCGCAATTGCTGGTTCGCATTCTGATGCACTTGAGTTCCGGTTGGAGATTGCATCTGAGACCCGAAAATGTCTTCAAGGTTGAAAGGCTTCACTCCTACAAGCCTATTTAACTCCCCATTATGATGGCGGAAAGATGGACTATTAGGCATGGAATTTTCCCAGTTAGGATGCATAATGAATCCATGATCTTCAAGTCCAAGCAATTCAAAGTCTAGTTCAACATCTCTAGCATTTTGTGCAGTTTTCAATCTGCTTTGGGAGAGCGGAAGGGTAGGGACTGGAACCTGAGACTGAGTGTGCCACATGGTTCCACCCACAGGAGGAGATCCTCCAGACGGAGTCATTGGCGGGGTTAAGGCAGATGGAGAGCCCAGTGTGAATGGGTCCAATGAAGGAGCACTAGCAGAATATGATCTGGGAGAAGGCAAAGCAGAACCGGTGGAAGCATACACCGGCCGAAGCTCCTCCAGCTTATGAGCAAAGAAGCAAACTCTTCTGGTGCATCCTGTCTCATTGCAAAGGCGTGTCCTGTATTGCGCAGGGTGGAGCCAGCACTCGAAGATACCATGCGCGTATTCACAGTCATCCCCCTTGCTGCAGGACCCCTTCCGAAACTCGGGGCAAGGGACACAGCTGTATTGGTATTTCATAGGATCGCGGCGCCTTGCATTTTCTCCAGGATGAACAAAGGGACACTCAGTCCAATCATGAGAATAAGCTCTTGAACAAGGCCTCACTTTGAATGTGTACATCCTAAACTCATCTGTGCTATAGATTCCATTTTTGATGTCTGGGAGAGAGAGATCAACAGGATAATCTTTCTTCCCATTCCCATTTTTTGGAATCTGAAATGCTTCTACATCTTGCTGATGCTCCTTCTCCATTTGGTCTGCTTCCTCAAATTTAAGGCAAGCCTCATCAATACTAATTGCTCCTTCTAGTATGGCTTGTAATATCCTCTTTCTCGAATTGAAAACACCGTTGGTCACAGAGACAACCAAGTCACAGCAACTGTTTCCATTGGCATCAACAGAACTAACATCAGCCGACGCAGCGAGCAAAAGCTTGATGACTTCAAGGGAGGCAGCAGAACCTCCATCAACAGCACAATGAAGGGCAGTAGCCCCATCTGATCCACAGGCCCGATTAACATCAACGCATCCCGTCCCAAGAATATAAGACAACACCCTTTTGCTTCCAAACATAGCAGCAATCATAAGAGGGGTCCTCTCTTCAAAACCCAATTCCTTTGAGCCAACCCTCCTTCCATACCACAACCCCACCTCATCAACATCAAGACCCTCTTTCTCAACAGCATCTTTGAAAGCCATTACATCATCTGCTGCTGAAAATTCGAGCAAAGCAGAAATCTTATGATGCAACCCTTCATCCCCCATAATTGAACCGGTTTGAGAAGGCCTCTTCTTGGAACCACTGCACATTATTTTACAGAATCTACAAAATCACAAGTTAAACGAACAAATTCAATATGCCACTACACCAGAAAGAATATCTCAAATTTAAACCCTATAAAGTTTCCTTTAAAAGCTTTCAATTTAACCTAACCATAGAAAAAGGAATCAAAAGATAAGACAAATTATTCCGCTTCATGAATGTTAGAAGAAGCCACTAACTGTTGGTATAACTACAAAATCAAAAATCACCAATCACCAACAAATTTGTGACAAACATTGGTTTCGGTTTTCAACGTCCAGTCATTTAGTTCATTCCCAACATGAATCCTAAAAATAAACCTCAAACTTGTTAACAGAATGAACAAAAACAAAAAAAAAAACGATTTTTTTTTTTTGCAATCTTAACAAACAGCATAAACAACCTGTCCTTTTACACGGGTGCAAAAGAAAGCATATTTTTTTATCACGTGACTATGCTAATTCATTCTCCGCAATTTTCTTAGCAACCAAGTAAAAACACACAGCATTCTCGAAAACTTAAAAAAGATCTAATTTTTATCTCAAATTCAAAGACCCGTTAGAAAGAAAATAAACAAAAAGTAAGAACAGAAGAAACATACCTTAAACAAGCCAAGAAACAGCACCAAAGTTCTTGAAGTTAGAATTCTTTATTTTTTTTGTTTTTGCTTTAAACTTCAACGCTTGCAAAGCTTTTCAGAGAGAAAGAGGGAGGGAAGCAGAGAGAAGAAAAAGGGTCACACTAGTCACTAACTCTTGTTTCTCTTAAATTGTTTTATATTTCTGATTTTTATAAGTAATTTTTTCTTCATAAGATTAAAAGTCTTATGAAGTATTATAAAAATCAATTAATAATGATGAAAATAATAAATTTATTAAAATACTTTTAATACTTTAAATTTCCATATTTTAATACTTTTAATATTTTAATAAATTTATTATCATTATCATTATTATTTTAATATATATTGACTGTTTTAAAAAGTTATGTATATAAAAGTTATGTTCATATTATAATTGTGCTTTCTTTTTTATTCAAACTGGGTAAAATCTTTGTGTTTTTTTAACCTAATGTATCTCTTGACCTAATGTATTCCTTGACTAAAAATTAAGAAATATGTTTTTTAAGATATTAAAACTCATTTGAAAAGTTAACTTTTTTTCAACAAAAAACAATTATATATATATATATATATATGTATAACAATTAGAAATTAAATTTGACCAAATATTTAAAGCATAAAACATCTACTAAACATATACATGTTAAGTTTTGTAAATTCTGAGATTTCCAAAATTATATTGTAATTGAGTATTTTTTTTAAAAATATCTTTACACAAAATGTTTTTAGGATTTTTTTTAATTTGTTATTAAATTTAATTTAATTTATTATATTTTTTATGACATTAAATTTAATATTTAAAAAATTATCACTAATATTGAACTGTAATATAAATTATTTATATTATATTTAAAATATAATTTATATATTTAAAAATATTTATTTATATAAGTTTTACATATAAATTTTATATTCAAATATAATATTTATTTGTGTATATGATTTGTTATAAAATTTAATTATATATAATAAATATTTAGTATGTGCATACTTTTTTCACTTTGATTTATCTAATTATTATTATTAAATTTTAAATACTTTTTTTTTCTTGCTGTATGACTTAAATGACAATGAAAATTAGTCAACTCATTGGAAATTAAAAAAAATGCCATATCAATTGCAATCTTAGCAAAAATGTTAAATAAGAGGATAAGTAATTTACCGATTCATATTATTGAACTAGTATTTTGGTATCGAGAGATTCATATTATAGAATTAGTACTTTAGTGTGTTTTTTTAGATTAAATGTTTAATAAAGATTGAAATGATATTGGTATAATTTTTATTGAATATTATTAAATAATTTTATAAATTTGTTAGATTGAAAGTTTTTTACTTTTAGATTATATATACAAATTTTTATATTAATTCAAGATGATTTGATACTTCATTTTTATAAAATAAAATTGACACAATATATACATTTCAAAATATAATAAAATATAAACATTTTGATTACGTTCAAATTATTGTTCAATTTTAACAAAATTTGATATGAACATATAAAGTGATATGAAATTATAATTCAATAGTTAGATTTACAAAAGTCATATTTAATATAAAGTTATTGAATAGTGTAATACTCAATAAAAGTTACACCCATGTCGTTTTGAATCCTTCTTTGTTTAATATATATATATATATTTTCTCCAAAAAATATAAATTATAATTTAGATGTAAGATAAATAATTTATATGGATTATAAATTATTTTTAATTATTGATAATTTATTTTAAAAGTTAAAATTAAATTCATATATAATTATGATAAATAAATAAAAACGAATTACATAAGAAGTTAAAAGAATTCTTAAAAATTTTCCTATAAAAAATAATCTTTAAAAATATTATCGCGCAAGATAGTTGTTCAATTTTAATATATAAAGGTTGAAGATTGATTTAATTCATAAATAAATATGATAAATAAAAAAGATTGAATTAGATAAAAGATAAAAGAATCTCTATAAACAATCTAATAAAAGAATAATCTCTCAAAATATTCTCGTACAAAATAGTCTTTCACATTTTTTTACATAGAAGTTGATAAATAAAAAAATATGATAAAAAATAGAAATAAATAAAAATATAAAAGATCCCTAAAAATCCTCTCATTAAAAGTATTTTTTCACAGGATAATCATTCGTATTTAATATTTATATATTTATATATAAATAATTAACTAAATAAAAATCAAAAGAATCTCTAAAAATTCTAACGTTGAAAAAAATATATATAATATTTTTGCTCAAAATATCAATTTGTGTTTAATATTTAAGTTAAAAATTCTAAAAATATTCTTGCATAGAATATTAGTTCATGTTTAAAAAAGAGTCCAAAATATTCTCAAAAAAAAAGTTGTTAAAAATAGTCGCATTGAAAAATATTATCATTTAAGAAAATTAGGGTGTGTTTGGGAAAATTATGAAAGTCAGATTATTTTAAGGGAAATCTACACTCATCTTCTTATAGAACTTTTTAAATGACACAATTCCTCTTTAGTTTTTAAGTGAATACTAACTTTTCTTATTTATTTATCTAAATTACATATACAACCTCTCATGTCAGACAATGTCATTTGTGCATTATTAAGAAATAACAAATTATTAAAGCAAGTTTTAACAATTGAATGAGATTCAGTCTCTTACTTAATTTTAACTCCTAAAATATTATCTTAAAATTGTGTATGTTGTGATTTAAAAATATACCAACTTCAAGGAACAATTTTAAAAAGGAACTGAAAAATTATTATTTTAAAATTGAAGATCAATAAAAATTTTCATTAAAAAAAACTATAACATTGTAAGTATTTTAGAAATAAAGAATATATATAGAGAGAGAAAAAAACTTAAAGATAATCAAAGTGTTCATATTTTATTATATTTTGATATATATACATATATATTCTTATAAAACAAAATTGACGTAATATATATAT